AGTGCTCCAAAAATCACCTGCATTAGAATCACATAGAAGATGATTAAATATGCAGATTCCTGGGCCTCCATCTCAGAACCACTGAACTGCTTGCTAGTGGCCTAAGAATCAACATTGTTAAAAGTTCATCAGAACATTCTGGAGCACACCACTGCCTTGGATGCTTTAAAACTGCAAATATGATATACATATTAAAATAAAAACACTGCACCTAAGCCAACAGAGACTGGGAATCCTTCGAAATCAAAGCAAATCAATACTTTCTTAAATGTTACAATAAATATAACTTTATCTTTTGTTGAGGATTTTAGGTTGTCACTATGAACACCTTCGCTCTACTGTAAATGAAGCACAAATGGCAGCAGGTGCAATTCCACTACTGTGTTAGCTCCCAGCACAGTAGAAGCTCAGTCCCTGGGAGTATTCCTTATGCTCTGTAATGGCTCCACTTTCTCCTTGAACCCCTACCTACTGGAGTCTTCCAAGGATCTGTCATAAGTTACACATTATCATAACTCCACTGGCAGTTCACCTGCCCTCAAAGCTTCAACCTCCACATAGAGGGCTTCCAATTCTAATCTTCCAAAGGATATATTCCAAACTAAAGCATTAGCACTATCCCTACAACAAGCCAACCGGCCTGCCCACCCTGTTCTTGCCCCCATCCCTACCCAAACACACATTTCCAAACTGGGTGCTAATGGCTACCCACAACTGTTAACCTTTGTAACACCATTTTTTTTCTGGACATAGTCTAAAGAACCAACCTATCCTGTGTTCTCCTCTTCGCTTTCAGTATCAGTAATCTGTCTTGTTTAATTACTTTTTAAATATTATCGGCTGGTCCAATGGTAGTGGGTTATCAGAACTTATTAACATTAGTGTCACTAAAGATGGTATTCAACCCCCCACTGCTAAATTTGACTGGCTAAAAAAATAAATAAACATTATCATTGCTAATATTGATTTTTTAATGTAGAAAATTATAATAAAGATCATCCATAAGTCCACGACCTTGAGAATACAATTAATAGTTTAGTATGTATTTTTATTTTTCTGTGATTGGTTTATAAATTGCATGGCTTTATGTGACAAACTGTTGTAATCTGTTTTGGCATGCAGAATAAGTAAATTCAGGGATTGAATAAATTGATGAGTTTCCTAAAGTAAAAATATTAATAAGATAGGTTAAAAAATCAATACTAAATGGAAAGAAGATTGTACTTTGACTCCTGACAGCTGCAGCCTTTCACATTTTCTTGGAATTTTACATGAATAAGTTTGGAAAAAGAAATGCCAGGCATAAAAGCAATCATTATAGGAATGGGCTCATGTGAATAGAATTATGGAAAAAAATCACACAAAGAGAACTGAAAATACACATGGCTCTACTTCAATTCTCAATTTGATATGTATTTATCAGGCACATCTGATTAAACAATGAAGTCCTTGTTTGAAAAGCAAAACTAGCTGTTTCTTATTAAAAAGCTGTCTACAAGTCTTACGATATATTTAAAATATTTTTGGTTTATGTGGAGGTCAAATTTTTAAAATTCTGTACAGCAAAAACAGAAAACACCTATATGTACTAGCGTATTTCCATTTATATAACCTCAATTTAGAAGACTGTCTCTTAACTATAAATGGCTGATGCCAGAAATACCCCTTCTCATCACCAATACTAGGCACCTCCCCACCATTTCCTTTCAGTAACTACTTCAGATACCAGTACTGTCTGGAAAACTAACCTTTATCTCCAATTCTCACTTTACCCTTATACAAATTGGCACAGAATCTCTCAAGTGGTAACACAGGACAGTCAGTAAAATGGAGAGGCAAAAAGTGGTTAACAAAAAGAGTGCATTAAACTTACCTGCTACTCTCTGCAACCCTAACCACCAGCCCCTACGTCCAAGCCTGCTCATCGCCATCATCAAGCATCAGTTGGACAAACGGATTGGGAAACAGTGAAGAGAAAGTTTTCTCTACCACTGCAGAAAACTCTCATTTTCATTATTATTCCTGTTTCCGATTCCACTACCAAAGATAAGAGAAGGGAAAACTCTATTCTCCAACCCTGCACTCATCTAGCTCTCAGCCTGGTCCTTATTATCAATGACTGTTTTGCCTCCTTCTTTCTTTTTTAATTTTTTTTTAATTTCAGCATATTATGGGAGTACAAATGTTTAGGTTATGTACACTGCCTTTGCCCCACCCGAATAAGAGCTTCAAGCGTATCCAACCCCCAGACGGTGCGCACTGCACCCATTAGGTGTGAATATACCCATCCCTTCCTCCCCCGTCCCAGACACCCGATGAATGTTATTAACTAAATGTGCACTTAAGTGTTGATCAGTTAAAACCAATTTGATGGTGAGTACATGTGGTGCTTGTTTTTCCATTCTGGTGATACTTCACTTAGTAGAATGGGTTCTAGCTCTATACAGGATAATATAAGAGGTGTTATATCACCATTGTTTTATTTCCTTCCCTGCCATCTCTTCCCCAAAAACTACACCTCACATAGCCCCAACTCAGCTAATCACTCCTATCCAATGGATCACCCATTCCTATCAATTTATATCCTTTTCCCTAATGCAAGTCCTAGGGCCACTTCCTGCTTCTCATTTTCCCTCCTATTCTAACATTTGGAGTCACCAATATTAGGTTTGGAATGGGGGGAATCTATTATGCTCATCAAATACGTATAGTGTTAATAATGAACTGCTCAAACTTCAAGCAAGTTACTTTAATTTTGGGGGGACCCACTCACCTATAAAATGAAGGAGCTATTAGATCACCACTCCAAAATCTGGCTGACAAACTTCCAGGTCCTAATGATAGGGGATCTAAAACTGTAGATCTGAGGTGGAATGCAAGAATTTTCCAAAAGGCACCCAGATGAGTCTGCTGATCAGCCATGTTTGGGAATGTTTGCTAAATGATTCCCTCTAGTCTAATATTCCAAGATTCTAAGCTGGAATTTTCACTGCATTTTCTGGTAGGAAAACCATTATACAAGGATTATAGTTTCCATAGTTATTAGTATACTAGTTTAGGCATGTTACTGATTAAATGGGCCTTTGCAGGCTGATCTAGCAACTAAGCACCATTTCTATTATAACAGCTGATTCGCAAATGAACTTATAAAATGTTTACAGACTGGAAGCTATCAGTATTACAATACTAAGTCCCCAAAATAAAACACTAAAAATTATTTCTTTGGGATTATGTGTGCGGACTTATTCACAGATGGATTTTTTACAATATTAGGCCTATATAACAGAAATAAAGGTAGAAAGAGCATGCTCATTAGGATCATCTATTTTGCTAGTTCACTGACAGGGCTTTGTACATAATTGGAGCAAAGCCTAGAGAAGTCTAGATCATTGGTGGAATTTAGGGTATTAAAATGCCTAAAGAACAGTCTCATTCAAATGTTTTAGACTGCCAGGACTTCACCTAACCAGAAGCATACTAGATCTTTCATTTATGAACTGCATGTATCCATCCCTAGCAACTTCCAACCACCAATTCTCATTAGAAACAAGTGTTTCTGGTTAATATTTGGGCTTAAAGACATGTTTAAACATGCGGGAACTAAGCAAGGATAAACAGCACTTCAAGAGATGATGACACATTAGTAGTGTGCTAATTTAAGTGGAATCTATTCATTTATGAATAAAGAATGAAGGATGAAGGATGAAATTATTAAAAGGTAAAAATAGAAACCCAATTATTTGCTAGTCATTTTTTCTTTAAAAAGATGCATTTAGTTCAATTTGTACAAAATGGCACAATAAATTGCAGTGAAGTATGTCCTCATTTCTCCAAACAACATAAAATCTACAGTGAATGCCATTATGTAAGTGCATTCTTTGAATATCAGGAATGATGCAACTGTTGCTATGGTAACTACTCATTTTATTGACTAAACTGTGGGTTGGGGTTTAAAGTATTCTTTTAAAAAAGAAATTTCAGCATCTTAACTATGTCTGATAAGTCTCTTTCTATTGCTACCTATTAAACAATAACTACAAGTCATCTTTGGGGATGACTATTTAGCCTCTATTAAAAGCTAAACCTGAGTTGCCAAGAAAAGAAACCTTTAAAGTTTGAAAAATGAAACATCAACTACATTCAAAACAAAGGACATTTAGTTTTAACTTTCTAGAGTAATTGAAAAGGGGTATAAATCAATCCTTCACTGTCATAATTTTGCTTCTAATCCTAAAGTATTAACTAAGTATAAGACTAATACTAAAAGGCTGCTAACTTTTCCGTTTGCAATAAAGCTAAAAGGAAAGCCAGCTGAAAGCTATCCCCCATTTTGATACTTAGGAGAAATCTCTCCTGAGCATATGAAAACACTTAAGAATTTTCACTGTCGAAATCTTATAAAACAGCTCTGTACAAAAGCTTACGTTTAAAAATACCAAGAGTAACTGTAGACTACAACTGTAACACTCCTCAGGCACAAGCACAAGCTACTAAGGCTTCTTCCCTTGCTTATGGTTTTCCACGGAGAGGGTTCCCACCGACGGCCGGCTTCATCGGCATCTGTCTCTTTAGGAGGCTTCAAAACTCAACAGTATTATGAAAATTTTGCCCCAGATCTCTTCCTCATCCGCCTAAATAAACACTAAGATCAAGTATTTGAAGAATGGGGGGTGGAGGCCCTGGGTGTAGTCCACCCCCTTTTAACAAGGTGAAGTCCAGTCAGCTAAAAGGCCTGCTGACTTCGCAGCCCTGGAAGCCAATGCGAAGAAGCTTAGGCATGGCCGTAGGAATGAAGTACAAGAAAGGGGGGCTGACGCGGAAGCAAATGGAACAACAGGCTGGTCAAGCGCAAAGGAGTGAGGGGCAACTCAGGCTTCTTCCGTGTTTTACAAATGGATTTTACCTGTCTCCGTGTTTTACCTTCGCGTCTCTCGCAACGGTGATCCCCCCGCCCCCCTTTGAGCGAGTGTGTGTTTGCGTGGTGACAACAATCTCAGCACCCCGGCAGGGGACAGGGACTTGGAGGGGGTGGGGACTCAGTTCTCCCACAGGCCCGGAACTCTACTGAAGGGCCCTCGAAGAAAAGGGGGCGGAAGGAGCGCGCCTGACGCTGACCGGGGACTGGGACCGGGCCTGGGAGAGCGGCAATTGCTAGGGGTGACGTGCAGATCCTTTAGGTTTTAATGGTGGCCTCTTTGGGGAAGGGAAAAGGTGACAAGGGGTTGGGGGCGATGAGGCCGCCCCTCCCCCTGCCTGAGCTCGCTGTTTACCTTCTCTGTACTTCTTGCGGAGCCGCCGGTGGACGCTCTTCACCACTCCGGAGAGCTTCTCCTGCTCCAGCTTCCGTTCCTGCTCCCGGGGCGGCGGAGTGCTCGGATGCCCGGCCCCCTGACCACGAGCGGCGCTTCGGCCGCCGGCCCCCGGCTCCATATCGCTGCCGCCGCCGCCGCCGCCCCTCAGGCCCCCGCAGACGCTCCCCTGACGGAGGAGGTGGGGAAGGAGGAGGCAGCAGCGGAGGCAGCAGCCGGAGGAGGCAGAGGAGCGGGAGAGACAGCCTCGGAGGTGGCCCCTCACCCAAACGCACAAGCTGATTGGTGAACTTTGGAGGGCTGGGCGGAAACGGAAAACGCCAAGAGCCAATGGAAGTGGAGCACCGGCGGCGCTCCCGGTTGTTTGGGAAGGAGAGCAGCTGGAGGAGGCGGGGCTTGCGGGCAGAGGGGACTGAGGCGTTGGGAGCTCTAGGCCCGACTGCTCCTCTCCTGTCCCCCGCCCGCCCCTATTCTATGCGCATGCGCTAGGGTACGACCTCGGAACGCCGCTATGAGCGACGCGCTTGCGCGTGTGTGTTTGCTTAGTTTGGGCTTTATTTAGCACCCAGCTTTCTCACGTCTTCTGGCGATTCTACGCCCTACCCTTTATAATCTCGTGCGATGCAGCCAGGGCTTTCTACCTGAGCGTCCGCCGCATCTTGTCACATATAGGTTCCCTTAACAGCGCAGGAATTTTACACTTCGAGGGAACCAAGCACAAGTGCTTTCATTGGTTCAAAGAGTGGTCTGGCTACCAAATGGCGGTTTAATTCTTGGGCCAACAAGATCTAATGCCTGTAGTGCTGCTGCTGCTGCTGCTGCTGATGGACAAAGGATATAGAAAAATGGGAAAAGGAGAGGGCCAAGAAAGGCAATAGGTGGTGCAGGAGGACAGAGATGGAAAGATGGAAAACCCACAACAGATGCCCTCAAGAATTTTTGTAGTTACCACGGTGTTATAGGTGGCCTGCCCTGATGTAATGCGCATCAGAACTCTGAAGGCTTTTAAAGCCTGCTCAGGTGACCTCTCGCGCTTTAATTTGGTGGGTTAGTTTATGTAGAGTGTGCTTAAGTGGATTTGGTAACCTGTTCGCCCTCCTCCACTCCTTTTCCTTCTCTTGGGAAATGCGATTGTTGACTTCTGTCTCAGAAAACTGGAACAGTACTCTCCAGAGAGATACAGGCTCTGCATTAGCTCCTGGAGTGGTACTGAGGCTGCTGGAGTGTCAGATTCAACAGGCTGAGATGAGAGCCCTTAGTTATGTTGGATTGTGGCCTACCTCCACATTGCAGTTGGTTACATGACATTGTATGGAAATTGTTGCAATGAGAACTTTTTTGATCAATTATTTTATAAATAGGAATAAAACTTGGATTATGTAGCTGCTTTATATGCTACCTTCTGAATAATGAAGTCCTTGAAAGGCAAAGAATTATACACACTCCACGACATAGGAAGAGAAGAAGGGAGGAGGTGAAGGGAGAAGATTGGTGGAATTTGAAGGCAGAAAATGTGTCCCTATCAGCACAGTGAAAAAACAAACACAGAGACAGGGACATATAAACTTCAAAAGAACTAATTATAATTGTGAAGAGAAATTACACAGAAGTGCATACATTGAGAATATGGTGGTCTTATTTGGGGGAATTTCTTTTGGGAAGAAAGGAGAACTTGAAACATCTCTTTTGGCTCTTTCCATATTTTAATATTATATGTAAGGCAAATAAAGATGCAAGTAATTGGAAGATACAATGATAGTAAAGAGAGCATTGAATTTCATTTGTGCTGAACCGTAGCTATTTTTTTTTTGATTTCAGAATATTACAGGAGTACAAACATTTTGATTACATGATTTGCTTTTGTACAGTTTGAGTCAAAGTTATAAGTGTGCCCGTCACCAAAGTAGCATGCATTGTACCCGTTAGGTGTAAATTTACCCATCCCTCCTCCCCGCTCCCACCTACTTGATTTCTGTTGAGTTTTACTACCCTATGTGCACATGGGTGTTGATGGATTAGTTCCAATTTAATAGTGAGTACATGTGGTGTTTGTTTTTCCATTCTTGCAATACTTTGCTTAGAAGAATGGTCTCTAGTTCCATCCAGGTTGTTACAAACAGTATTAGTCCACCATTTTTTATGGCTGAAAAGTACTCCATAGTATACATATACTCCATTTTATTAATCCACTCATGTGTTGATGGGCATTTTAAAAGGACTTTCCTCCATATCATTAGCAAATGAATTAAGTTCTCTTTTAAGGTAGAGATATTCACTGAAGGAAATTTGGAAAATACAGAAAGGAGTAAAGAAAATAAGTCACTGGAAACCCACCACTGAAAGATAACACTGGTTAACATTTTTTCTTTGTTCGTATATACTAATTTCAAATGGCATATTTCTTGATGACTATGTGGTAATCTATAATATGAATAGCCTACCATTTCATTAGCCAATCCTCACTTATTGTATATTACATTGTCTCCAGCTTTTATGTATTACAAATAATGCTGTGACAAACACATTTATACACATGTGTTTGTCCATTTAATTATATATTTCATCAGGCTAAATTACTAAAAGTTAAATTCCTGAATCAAAAAGTCTATGTTTATTTCACTGTATCCTTACCAAATATAGGTATTACAATCTACAAAATCATCAATGAGATTGTTTAAAAGATTTCAGTTTTTAAGAAGTATATGTGAATGTCCTGCTGTTTCTAACTACTCTGGTTGGTATAATATTTAACTTAAAATATTAATATAATAATAAATAGAAGGAACTTAGTTAAGACTAGTTGTCATTTTCAAGCAAATCAAAGAGCCCTACATTTTAAATTTGTTTTTTGACTTTTCACTTTCTTGAGAAGCAACTCAAGGAATAGAAATTGGACAGCCAGATTTTATTCTAAATTTGCATGAATTCAAATGTGACATAGGTCATGTCCTGAGAAACACCAATACTAAGTTTTCCTGAAAGCATTTTTGCAACTGGCTATAGATCACAGCATAAAAGGAAGTTTCTAAGAATTTTCCTCCATTGTGATTAGTAATATTGGAAAAAGTGTTCTGTCTGTTAAGGCTGCAGAGGAATGGTCACGAAATTTTCAATTTAAAGGAGATAACTGTCCTAATTGCTGGTAAAATGGATTCACTGAAGGAAGTAGGTTTAATACCAGATTCAAGAGCATAGCCTATGCCCAGGAAAACATCAGCACCTTTCCCCTAATGTTACAGGTTTTTATTTAATGTAAATATATTGTTTTTTAAAATTCTCTCATTATTATTTTAAATTCCTATTAGGGAAAGAGGATGTTGGAATAAAACACTATTCACTGAGCAAGACAAACCAGTCTGGGAAGAAGAGGCAATTTCTAATGACTGCTCTAAACTCCTGATAAGTAAATTTCTCATCCTCATTCTTTGCCTTACCTGACCAGCTTTTGCTCCCTCCCCCATTCACATTTGGTGTGTCATACCAAGCTTCCTGTGTCAAAGAACCATTCAGTTTAGGAAAAGTGTTTTCGTTGAGAAAAAATATCCTCTTGTCTTTGCTTACAGTTATACTCTTTAAGAGGAAAACAAGTTCCCACAGACAATGTAAAGCATCAGCATATTGTAATAATAAAATACGTTCTGTTCTCAGTGGGAGTTTAAAATATTTTAATTGGTGGTAAAAAGTAAACTTTTAAAATCCGTATCAAAATCTGGGATGTGGCACTGAGTTAACCAATAGGTTCTGGGTGCACATTACAAAAGTGTTATACATTTCATTCTGTCTTTATTGAGTATTTCTGTGGAAGAAAAAAGACTATATAATAGAAATTGAGGTTCTTTGAATTACCTAAAGCATTACTTATTTATTTTTATTCTTCAGTGATTTTTGGTATTATTTTACTTTGGCCTTGTCATCAGTATCCTAAAAACAATTAGGTTTTAGTGTTGTTTAATAGAAGTATTAATTTTTAACTTATGTTTATAAAACATAAC